GGCTGTTCCTTCCATCTGGATTGCTCTTCCTCCGGAATTCACACAGCTAGTTCCTTCTTGTCATTCAAATGTCCCTCCTCAAGTGGACTTCCTGACTATCCACTCTGAAATCACTCTCAAGTCACTGAATTCCCTGCAGAGCACTGATCACTACCTGATATTTTTTCTTTTAAATAGTTTGTGTACATGCTTATTTGTAACCTGTATTCCTCCATTAGAATGAAAGCTTCAGGGGTACTTGGTCTTGGTCTTACTTACCATTGTATCCCAGGACTGAGAATAATCCTTATGCTCAATAAATATTTTTGTTTTAAGAACAGTAAAATATTGCACTGGGGCAATAAAGAATTTAATAAGGAATTTAAGAGCACTACAAGCTACCACAAGCATCTTGGTCCCTTACATTGTTAATTATGGCTGCTATCTCCTAAATACCAACGTGTGTGAAACTTAAGTATAGTGAAGAAGAGAAGAAGAAACAAATAGTTTATAGATAACACATGAGTACTCTAAACACTTCGGAAGTTAAAATGTCTAATTAAATTCAAGGGATTCAGGTTGTAGGTTTAATTTGATTAAACATGAAGATGTGACCCGAGGAGACATTTTTGAGGGCCTCCTGGATTCCCTCAGTTTTGTGGTGAAATCTCTGAGACCTAAGTGAACTGCTTGATTGGTTTGCTGGTTCACACCTACTGCTTCTCCCAACAGAATCCTTAGTCTTTCCTTCCAGGGAGAGAGGGCCTTGCTGCTTCCTTAGAAAAGAGCAGAGAACTGTAAAATGGGAAAAATTAGGTGACCTATGCCCTTAAGAATGAAAATACCCTTCTTGGACCAGCTAGAAATAGTGTAAGAAGCTACCGTGGCCATGAGAACTGTGCAAACATGATGGGAACTTGAGCTTTCTTGTATTGATATACTCTATCTGTAGAGTGATTCACAATACATTCTTAAAAATCTTTAAGCTGATTTTTTAGGAAACCCAGAAAACTTGGGCAACCAAGGAGGCATTTTCTACTCCTCAGCTTGCCTTGGGGAATAGGAATCCCAAAAATGTTCTATGTAGTGGGTCTACAAAAAATAGGAAAAAAAGGTTGCATCCTTGGAGGCAAAGTGGTTCAGAAGTGTCCGAGGAAGCTATCTGGGGATTAAGGAGTAACCCCGGAGTCTTAGCTAAAAGACTCTCAAGTTTTTCCAAATCAAGTATCTAAGGGAGAATATTTAGCTGAATTGTTCTGAACGTCTTTGTTTGTAAAAATTGGAAAGTGATTCTGAAAGGATTCTTTTTTATAAGATTTTTTCATTTTTATTTATTTATTTATTTTTGGCAATGTTGCTTCTGTCATGACCAAGAGCCAGAAAAAAAAAATTATTTGAAGACTCTAGGTTCTCATAAAAAAAAAAATCAATGTCAGTTTGATTCTACAAGCTGTAAAGATTTGGCTCATGTGATGCTCTGGGTTTTAAGTAATAATAGGTCAGAGTCTCATGTGCACAGAAATGCTCATAAGGATAGCAAGGAAATTGTGAGCTGTTTCTAAAGAGCTTTAAGGAAAGGGTAGGTAGACATCTACTCATAATGCTTTAGGCATTCATCTACTTAGGGGAGTTTGGACCCTGTCTATAATTCTGAAAGCTAGAAAGAAAAGGACTGGGAGTTAAGGAGATTCTGTATATTATGTTGTGATATTTTTAAACTTATATTTAAGATATCACTACAATAAAAAGGATAGTAAAGAAAACCAAAGAGCTAAAGTGTATTTCCATCAAAAAATCTTTTCATACCATTTCTAAAACAATCTGTCAATACCATTTTTTTAAAAAAAATTTTGAACTATAGCTATTTTTAAATCAATAATTGAGTGGGGAATGGAGGTAGGGGCTGGGAGAGGTGGTGCAGGCAGTGGTATAAGTTGTATTATCTGGCACCTATTATCCTAAGTGGAAATATAGAAATAAAGTAGGCATGGTTTTCCATTGAACAATCACTTATTCTCAATGATCATGTCTTCTACTCCTTGCAGCCTTCCCGGTCAGGTATTTAAAAATGTATACTTTTCATTAGTTTTGGGCTCTCTCATCTCATTTATATTCTGGCCTTGGGTCATCTTCAACATCCATTTCCTCTATTCCTGCTCTGTGCTTCTCAGTGTTGCTGCTGAGTCTCAAAACCCTGCCGACCATATTCTCTGTAAGATCGAGCTCTCCGACCTCAGCAAAGGCCTCTTTGCTGCCCAAAAGTTCTTTTATTTTGCTTTGTCAGCTGCTCCTCAATTTCCCCAGTGGCTATTCTAGGTCTTCAGGCTCACTTTCCGAAGGCCAGCTCACCTCCACTTTCAGCAGACGGCTTGGAAAACGTCTCTGTAGAGATGACTCAATCTGTTCCATATTGGCAGCTTCAACTTTTCTCTTCTTCGAAAATCTATTTCCTCACCTTTCTCCCTCAATTTGTTTCTGTCTTCTAAGAATGAAATATATATCCTTTTTCTTTATCACATTCTTCTTCTTCTTGTCAACTACTATCTACTCTAGGAACTGTGGCATCAAGTGCATCCTTACCTCCTCATATCGTCAGTTTCCGCTCCTATATCAAATCGTCTCTCAGGGGTCTCCCATTTTAAACAAATAACCCTTCTGTGACTCCATAAATGAAGAAGTGTCTCTATTGAACACTTTATAAGAATAGCTGTACTCACCCACTCCATTTCCTCATTAATATACTTCTTTTTTTACGTCCTCCAATATTGCTATTCCTCTAATATTTATTTATTTATTTTTTACATTTTATTTTTTTGAGGCATGGTCTTGTCTCAAACTCCTGAGCTCCAGGGATCCTCCCACCTCAGCCTCCTGAGTAGCTGGGATTATAGGTACTTGCCGTCACATCTGGCTGTTCATAATATACGATAGAAACTGTTCTCCCATTGGTCTTTTTTCGGTCTTCATTCTCTTGGCAACATTTATCCTACTAAATGCCTTCTAAGAATTCTCTCTTACCCCTTCTTCTACCAATCTCATGGTGCTTTTTGTGGCTTATCTGACTCTACATTCTTTCTATCTGAATGCAGACATTCAGTGAAGTTCCAAGGTACCCTTCTCTCATCATTCTATACTTTCTGCCTAATAAGCTGCTTCTAAATCTTCAAACTTTGTGCTTCTTATTTTGTGTTCTATAGCTTGAGCCCTAACCTCTTTCCCAGACTAAAACCTCCACTGTGTAGTTGAATGTGTCAGTTACTAGTCCTGCCTGTCAAACTCAGTAATGTCTCTAAATCGAAATTATTATTTTCCTCTCCCAAAACTCCTCCCAACTTTAGTACTTCTGATAATGGCATTTACCATTCCAGAAACCTGAATACTCATTTTGCATTCAACAAATAAATATCTACTGTGTGCTTAACATGTGTCATTCAGCAGTTCAAGGCATTGGGGATAAAGGAGCGAACAAGAGGAATGAGGCTCTTGCCCTCGTGGAGTTTACATTCTAGAGTGTGGAAACGTAAAACAAACAAGTAATTAAAAAAGATAAATTTTGGTAGAGAGAAGTGCTGTAAAGAACGTAAAAAGTGAATGACTGCTATGAGGGGCAGGTTTGCACTGTAGGACAACCATATTAGATAAGGTGAGCAAGGAAGCCACTTCAAAGAGGTGACATTCAAGCCGAGACTTGGATAATGAAAATGTCAATCTGAAAATATTGAAGAAAGAGCTTCTCCAACAGAGATATCAGTGAGTGCAAAAGCTCAAAATATGCATATACCTTTTTGCTTCTCACTTCAACCTATCACTCTAATTTTGAATGTTTGTCAAGTCTTGTAGAGTGACCTCAATTTTGATCCCTCTTGTATCTATTTCCTCCTGGGTTGAGCCCTCATTACATTTTTTTTTCCTAAAGAGATAGGGTCTTGCTATGCTGCCCTGGCTGGCCTCAAACTCCTGGGCTCACCAGATCCTCCTGTCTAGCCTGCTGAGTAGCTGGGACCACAGACCCACACCACCATGCTTGGGCTTAAGCCCTCATTATTCTTGCTCCCTACCCATTTCCTGTTCCAGTGCAAACTTCGTATCACAACAGAGGTGACCACACTAAAGTGAAATGCTACATCATTCTCTCACTCCAAAGCCTCTAGTGACTGCCATTATTCACTGAACTAATGTAAACTTGGAAAACCAACATTCAAATCTCTTCATGGTATAACCTCAAAAATATCTTTCAATTTTCTCTTCCATGCTGCTGGGCTCAGTTCTACTGAAATTCGGGTTCAGAACACACCTTAAACATTCCTGCCTCCAGAGTTGCCCATATGTCCCCTCCATTTGGACTCATTGTCATCCCCTCATAACCAATATTGGCCAGTCGTAGCCCTCCATGCCCTGTCTCAAATCTCCTTTTCCTCTAAGATCCTTAACCTTAAGATTTTTCTGTTTTAACGTACAAAGAACTGTATTCCTTTCTTATAGAATTTGTCATATTTTGCCCTAGAATATAGTTATGTGCACATCTGTCTCCTCTCTATATAGCCCTTACTATAATACAGGTGTTTTAAGACAAGGACCACATGTTATTTATCCTTGTACTAGTGTGATGCCTCATACATAGTTGGCGTTGGATATTATTTGTTGAATGACTGAGTTTGTCAAATCTGAGTTTGATTAGCTAATATTTATTTTATGATACCCCAGGTGGTTTCCCTTTTATCATTCCTCTTACTCATTCTCATGAGACCTATATATGAAAAGGCAGAAAGGAGAGAGGAAATAAATACAGAGACTTCTTGTTTTGAAACAGTCTAATTGGCTTCAAGCTGGACAAATGATTAAAAGTTTATATTGAGAAACATTAAAAATACCATTTTAATCCTGCATAATCAATATAGTATGAGATAAATAACTCTTAGTGAAATGCTAATTGATTGATTTCTTGCTCAGGAAATAAAATCGCTTAGCACTACGCAGCACTAAAAAATACCATTATCACAATCACAGAACCTCGTGCTTACCACATTGCTGCATGTTCTGTATCGGATATTTCTTCCTTCACAGCTCCTAGGTCACAAAAAGGAAAAAAATTTCATTACTACTTACGAAAGGCTAAAAATTTGAAATATTTTCTTATAAAAATGATATCCTCTTAATACTAGTAGAAGGACCTACCTTTTCTTCTAAGTAGGTTCTTAGGAGTTATTATTAAATACTATGTTGAGCACATCTAAAGAAGTTATACATGTAAATTGATTTCTCAGTAAGGGTTGAACTTAAGTATTCATTTTGCTTCAAAAACTTTCAAAATAAGTACTTAATGCATATTTAACCAAATAAATATTAGTGCAAGGTTTTCTGAAAAACGTTTATATTAAATAAATTCTATCTTCTTCATATATTTCTGATATAAAACTGAAGAAATATTTCACTGAAAAACTTAAATCTTGAATATTATAAAAAAGTTGGACTTAATATTCAACATGTCTTAAAAATCACACTTCTAAGGACATTAAAAGTCATAATTCTTTAAAAATCACATTTATTTCTAAAATACATGCTCATTGTAGAGGTTTTGAAAAAGATTACTAAAAAAAAGTCTCCTGTAGTTGCCTCATCTAAAGATAATCACTATTGTTTCGATTTATTTATATCCTTCCAGTGTGAAGGAAATCACATCCCTTATACGATTGTGTAGACTTTTTTTCCACTTAAAATTTTTTGAAAGTATTTTCCCATGCTATTAAATAACTTTAAAAACACCATTTTGAGAGCTATACAATATTCCATCAAATGATATAACATAATTTGTGTAATAATTCTTCCATTACTTGTCTCTTAAGTAATTTCTCATTTGGGGTTTGATAAACAATAGTGTGACAAGCCATCTGCAGGCATATGTTTTATCCAAGTTTCTGTGTCTTTAGAATAGATAAATTTCTAGAAGGGGAATTACTGGACTACTGGGAATGAACTTTTGTAAGGCTCTTGATAAATATTGCCAAATTGCATTCCACAAAGGTTGTACCATTACATACTCCCACCAGCAACACATGGGAGTTTACATTTTACTGAATTCTTGTGAACAAAAACAATCAATTTTTGCTAAAACATCCAATGATGACACTTAAATCATGAACAACAGTACTCAGCTCTTTTCAAAATTAGTCACATTTTTCAAAAAGTAAGTTAAAAATATACTACAGAATTCTGAGAGAATGAGTATACTAATCGCGAATAGTTGTGCAATCCCAGGTACCTTTCTAAGTTTGCTGTACTTATTAATCTATTTAATCTTCTCAAAAACCCTAGGAGATAGGATACTGTCATATCCATTTTACAGATGAGAAAACTGAAGCTTAGGAAGGCTAAGTAACTTGCCCAAATCACAACTGTTAAGTTGTAGAGTTGCAATTTGACACCAGACCATCTGGCTTCAGAGCTCGCACTCATAATCACAATGTTTTAATGCCTCCTAATTCATTTTTTTTTGTTCAGCAAACATCATAGACCTTCTATTATGTGTCGGGCAATGAAATTACTATGAGGAATATAAATAAGAATGAACATGACTTAGTCTTTATTATTAATAAAATTAATCATGTAATTCAGTGTAAGAAATGCTATGTAGTATTTGTGTTAGGTCTTGAGAATGTTAACAAAAAGAAAATGTCATCTGAAAACACAATTATATAAAAGCTATCCTAAAAGTACAGAAAAGGCCCCAGGCCTAAAGGCCTGACTGTATCAGATTGACTATATTACCATGAATTACAAATAGAAAAGGAGGCCAGGCATGGTGGCTCATGCCTGTAATCCCAGCACTTTGGAAGCCCAGGCGGGAGGATCTCTTGAGGCCAGGAGATCAAGACCAGCCTGGGCAACATAGTGAGACCCTGTCTCTACAAAACAATAAAAATAATAATTATCCAGGTGTGGTGCCACACCCCTGTAGTCCTAGATACCCAGGAAGCTAAGGCAGGAGGATCACTTGAGTCCCGGAGTTTAAGGCTGCAGTGAGCTATGACTATGCCACTGCACTCTAGCCTGGGCAATACAGCCAGACCCCGTCTCCAAAAAAAGGTCCAGCAATGTCCCATACAAAGGCCCAATGAACTTTAAGCCCTTCATGTCCCATGGGCAAGACTGCTGCAATCTCCACATAGATGACTCATGCTAACCTAGCTGATGCCAGCAAACATTCAGTTCATCTGAGGGACACCGTTCATTATGATGCCATGTTGACCAAGCTACTTACCAAGAGTGGTCTGGATTTTCATGACTGCTGAGAGGCAAAGAGTGCTGGCCATGCTGACTTAAGTATTCTCGTCCATGTGATGGACAGTTCTATTCCTTGTTATAAATAAATCAACTGGCATTCTAGTTTGAAATATTAATGTCATGGGCTGGCTCATTGCGAGTGCATCCCCGAGAGAAGAATCTGTTCTTGGTACATACTATTGCTGAAAAATATCAGGTTTCTGAGTCTAAAAATATGAGAGGTAGGCTCCACATGATGGTAAATTTGCAAGGTAATGATTTCTACAATTGGGAGGCATTTGGTAGCATGGCATCTAGACGTTGGAGTTTGCTGAATGTGATATGATTTTCAATTTTAAAATTGTTGCTGCATATATACCATAGTGTAGTGGTTAAGAGTACCCACTTTGAAACCAGACTCCTCTTTCTGGAATCTTAGCTTTATACTTCAGTTTCTATACCTTAGTTTTGTCATCTGTAAAATGGGATAATATTATTTATCTCCTGGAATCATGAGGATTAACTGAATTATTTGTGCATCACTTCAAATGGTGCCCTGCACATAGTAAGCATTACCTAGGCATTTGATAAATTAATTAAATGCATAATAGATATAAAAATATAATAGATTTTGAAAGGAGGTCAAGGATTTATGGAAAGAAGCTAAGCAAAGACATAGAAACATGAAAACATTTGGTGTGTTTACAAATTTTCAGACAGTTCTTGTTTTCTGGAGTTGAGGGTTTATGCGGGAAATGGCAGTATATGAGTGAAACAACTTTTAATTTCGAACTTTGTAATAATCAAAGGAGAACTACTGAAAGTTTTAAAATAGAGGGGATTCAATGACTCTTTGCTTTAAAAAATAAGGTCTGGTGTTAATTATTGAGGCCTTAATACTCTATGTTATTCACCTTCATTTTCTTTTCTTTTTCTAACCTTATATGCATGAAAGGGATAATGGAAACAATTCTGAATTAGGAGTTTGAAGATCTGGGTTATAGATTTTGTTCTTCTACTTGCATAAATAAGCCTGTTGCCCTCCTCTCAGGGTCTTAGTTCCCTCATCTGTCAATGGATACAAGAATGCCAGCGCACAAAGTTATGATCACCAACTGAGATAATGCACAAAAGCTCTGTTCAAATGCCAAGGGGGTGATGACAGAGATATTGCTTACAAAACAAAACAAAGCAGAAAAATATTTGCCTTGATAATTTAAATGAGCCTCTTCCCAGATATTTTAAACTATAAATACAAGATTTTACAAACATCCTTGGATCACGAAGATACAAGCATAGAATATAAAAGATTGATTTAAATACTTATGATTTAGGAAGGGCAAAACAAAACAAAAACAAAGAAAAAACACTTGTCATGATTTCCAAAGAATATCCTGTAATTGTTTAACATTTAATATTGATTTGCAAATAATTTATTCATGCCTCTGAACTGTCTTCCCTTTACTATACTGTATTACTTTTTTTGTTGAGAGCTTACTTAATTTGGCTGAAATATGATATTAAAGTGGTAATGCTTAAGTTTGGCAAGGTGCTCATTATTGAAAGACATTATCAAATTGCAGGTAATAGTAGAAATACTAGCCTCTACTATATAGGCAGTGCCTGCTATAGGTATCTGACCCAGTGTTAGGTATTCTATGTATAGTATCTCTAATCTTTCAACAACTCCGCAAATTTTATTATTCCAATTTAATAGATGAGAAAACTGAGGCTGAGGAAGCTAAGGTGGCTTAAAGCTACATACACAGAAAAGAGAGAACCAGAAACAGAAATATAGAATTGCTCCAAACTATGTCAAACAATAAGAAATGGAACGGGATGTGCTCAAGATGTGTAATATACAAATACTAGTCTACTAAACACTAAAAATCTGAGAAGCTAAACAAGGGGTTGGCCTGGGGATTAGCTACACCTTATTGTTACTATATCAAATTATCATCTACTTCTCAATTCTGGTAAATCCACTTCTGGAAAAGCATACCTAGACACACACTGGAACATCTCCAAGAAAACAGTGCTCATCAGCAAAATGCAATGTGAAAGAACTTCAGGGCAGAGATGCTTATGCATTTTAAAAGTTCAAATATATTAAATCTGAATACAAATTTTACATAAGTAGCAAAGTGACTATCCCACTGCAAGGATTTAACTCCTGCCAACTGTGAATTTCTTCATCGAAGGCATTTATCTGGGCACAAAACCCTCATCTGAGAATTGAGCAGTAAAAAATATTTTCTTTCTTTTTTTTAACAGTTCATTAATATCAAACAGCTGAGTGGTTTCTTTCACATTTAAACAAAGTAAAATCCACCTCAAGGGATGAAAACAAGCATTAGAAATTTTAGTCTAAAATGGTGTCTGAGGAAAGTTATAGACCACTGATAACAGAGGATTTAAGTAAATTCACTCTCTCAATGCAAACTGTAAAATAGTTACAGGACTGTTGTTAGTGACTTAAATACTATACTGATCATGGACTCAGAAATTGGCTCAGGTATGAAAGATCAAAATATAAATATTAGAAGAAATTCCAATCCAAATTTTTATAGAAAGTTCCTTACTGATTTCAGCATTTTCTCCTAGCCAGTCACTTCTTAATTTTGACTTAAATCTTTCTCTCAAAAATGGAAATCATTTCAATCATGGACTGTTACTTATGAATTATTCAGACTTTAATTCACTTATGAGATTAGTATAGACTTGATTCATCCTTTAGTTGTCTCTCGATAACACATAATACACCATCTAAACTCTTCCAGTTCTTAAAATCCTGATGTTATTTTAAT